GCCGCTAGATTACGCGGCTTCAAGAGGATATTGAACCGAGTCGAGATAGAAATCAGTGTTGGTCTGCTTGGGGAGAGGAGCGCTTGCAATGGAAGTACGGCTAGGTGAAGCGATGTTCCCTCGAAAAGCCTATCTCTACTCTACTCGTCGGCTATAACAACACTATTCCACCTCCATCAGATAACGATGAGTGTCGGCATCCAGGAGTCGTCCTGGACGCCAAAGCATTGGCCTACAAACTCTGTCGGGTTATACAAGATGGAAACTCGGACGTTTCCAGGGAACTCGATCCTCAATTTGCTACACTTTTCCAACGGTAGCTCTGCAGCTACTCGAGGTGCAACTCTCGCATATCCTCACCCTTCAGAGCTGTTATAATCTCGTCCGAAGAGGCCATCAGAGACGCGTTGCTTGGGACGCAGGTCATCGCTTGTCCACTCCTCGCCTCTTGACATTGATGCTTGGCGAGGATATATTGCCCTGGTCACTCTCGAATCAGGCTCGAATCGACAGCTTCCCGGCTCGAGCCCCGTGGGAGGCACAATCGGCGGATCTAGAGCGGTGAGCCATCGTCTACGCTGCCGCAATATCGTCGGTGACAACCATCAGGACGCTGTCCGCCGTGGTCATTCAGCGATACTGGAGGGATTTCAAGGCTGCTGCGACTTCTCAGTATGATCGCTGGCCTTCCCATGAGGTGAATAAGGACTCTTGTCGAAGCCCGAGTCTGAGAATCTCAGACACCTTGGCGGAAACAGAAAGGAGTCCTTCCATGGAATGCCAGGAAATGGAGGGGGCGGACACGACAGTGCGGAGGAGGCTGCGTATGACATTCTGTGGATCCTAAGGGGCACTACCACGTGTCGCATCAACTCATATTCACCAGCTCTACCAGCGATGTTTCTGGGCATTATCATCTGCTCAGGCATTCCCCAAACCGTTGCGAGACTACTTCAATACCACGTTTGCTTCGCACGATACAGTGGCAAGGCCATCCACGAACGGAGAGGCTTTTCAGGACTCTAGCAGAGCTAATGTACATAAGGTACAAGTTTGCATTCGAGCAGCGAACATAAGGATGATTGGGGGCAGTAAGGCCCTAGGAAAGTACCTTGAGGATACTGATGTCGTTTCCAGACTTCTTGGGTAAGTAGATCACCCGTCTAGGAGGGAATTAACTGTCGTAGGTGCTCATCTGCACTAGTACACATATTTAAGCTGACCGTGAAGGGCCATATGGTGGTGATGGAACTGAGTCTACGGGTCAAAACAAGCGATGGTATATGCTATGGGAATCGTAGGTCCTGGGCTGATCATTATTCTACATGCGTTCCCCTTTTTCTCGCCACCATTGACACGCTGACAATGATGGTGAGACTAGGTCTTCGGTGCGAAGGGGCGGAGCTCGCTGAGCTTCTTATCAAGAATTCAGCGGGTTCTTATTCAAATTATTTTGTAAATTGGGTGACTAAAAAACAAAAGGTTGTCGGGGGTTGGCTGGCGTCGTCGACGTGGCCGACCACTGTCTCCTTATAGAGACATGTGAGAAGAATGATCATCGTGGGATTTGACCCTGGGCCGTTCGACTGAGAGTCGTGGTCACTAACGTACTGAGCTAATAGTTCATCTCTTGTGCGACGAACCGTTTTGTCAAAAATAAGCGGGAACAGCAACAGCTACACCTTCGCTATATTTTTACGCTGATGAGCAGTCAACGAGAGACAGAATGATGCCCTGTTTGTCTTCTGAATCGCCCTGGTCGGGTCGGAATTTTTGCTCACGCACGGTCGGACGGACGGACGGACGCACGCACACGAGTGTTCGTGCGCAGTAACATAAGCTCCGCTCGCTTCGCTCGCTCCGCAATTACAGTGGCATTAACGATGTCATTGGACTAGCTTGATGTTATCTGGCGCTATCGCAGTGATGTGCATCCCGTGGAGGCACTGCTTCCCTAAGCGCGGAAATATCACCTCCGAACTTAGCCATTCGGCACCACCCTTCTCAGCTAACTGCGATCATACTGGCGTCCCAGTCTATTCCAGCATGCTGTGTTCAAAGATGGCGCAGATGATCGAGGGCCCTCCCGAGAACTTTAGTAACTACCCAAGACTCCTGGCCCTCTTGGAAGGGTAGGAGACTTGCCTTCCACACAGGAAGACTGACGCTCTCAGTGCCACTATTTGGATGCCAGGCGACTCCCTCATTCCGGGATCAGGAGGTCGGCTTGCTGCCGTGGAGGACCCTATGAGACGACGGGATGAGGTCAGCGTGGGAAAGTCATAGCAAGCCAGTGCCATCCAGTGCAGGTGAGGTGTTGGGCAGCGATACGAATCCAGCGGCGCTTTCGTCGTCACCTGAGCCGCGATGGGTGGTCTGTGTATGTCACCCAGCCCTGGAGAATGGCTAAGGAGCCAAGCTGGAGACAAGTCGAGAGGTTCTCTTAATTTTAGACTACATTACATCTGCGCGTCATTCCACAATTTCTAGGTTTAGTGATGCCGCAGTCATCATCCAGCATCACTTCCGCATCTGGCGTGCCTGGAGGCGTGGCAGAATTGCTACGGAACAAGCGTCTAATCAACCGCATGTATTTGAGTTGTCCAAGACTCGCAAAAGATCTCGACATCCAGGTTCAGTGGATCAGTAAAGCCCATTGGGTGGGCTTACCGTGGGAAGCATGAACATGTCCCGTGGAACTGATGCTCTCATTCCGATTACCCTGCTCTTTGTGTTGCTGGGGCAAGTAACATCCCTCGGGTCGGGTAGGTGTGATCATCACACCTACGAGACGCGAGGGATCACACTGTGATGAAATCACACCAGGCCAGTGATGTATTGCGGCTCCACGTGGAGCAGGAGATTGTTGAGCTATGCTCCATGGGAAGCTCGTACACGTTTCTTGCGTGCATGTATGCGTATGCATGTGGAGACTGTGTATTCTACACGGTGCGTTCCGGTTTTGCACTGCGGTTGTCCTATGACGTGATGTGTCTCTGAACTCGACATGAGAAGAGGAGAGGGAAAGAGAGAGGCAAGGCGAACCACCGTATAGCTAATGAGGTGAACGCATTCACATTTGCGTCACTGCAAAGCTGTCTCCTTCATAGACTACATGCACACTGTCTCGTTACAGAGGTGATCCCACTAGCACAACGTTCCACTAAGCTCTAAACTCTCGGGACAACAGTGGGGGGGGGCGGGCGAGGAAAACCTGCCCTCGACAGCGGGTAGGGCAGATTAGGGACGCCAGAACTTGTGAGATCGAGGTACTTGCTTGCTGCTACTGTTTCGGGGCGCGCGCCAACATCAGCGCAAGATTTACAAGGGACTTGAGACAGTCCTCGTTGCGTGGATCAGCTTGCCATATCACATACATCCACTTCACGAGTATGACCGTGAAGTGTGACTTCTGACGGGCAAAGTGCGATGAACCTGATGGAAGCGGTCGAAGACCTCATAAGTCATTAGTGCTCTGTGGAATCGCCATGAGGAGCGCAGAAGCTCACTGGAGTTGTCGGTGATATATAGTAATCAATGTTATGGTATGGTGGTGTCAATACACCGAACTCTATCATGGACGATGAAGAGGCTATCGCCTCGGACATTTACGATTCAGTTTTTCTATTCGATGGCACGTGGCGCATGTGATATCAGGCAGTGCAATAGCCATAGCAGAGGTCCCTCTATAGCTACTGATAGAGAGCTTGACCGAGCTATCACATGCATTTAGTTGTCAGGTCTTTCCTTTCCACTCGGAATAACATTGTTCTAGGCAGTTTCCTGTTAGTCTCGATCAGCTATGCCTTTCCTCACCATACCAAAGCGGACCTCTCGATCTCAGTCTGCTGATTGTGGCGGTAGCAAAAGTGGTCAAGAAGCTCTGGTCAATCAAAAGGGATATGCAGTGGAGCTTGTGCACGCGGAGGTTCAAGCGGGAGGCCACACTGGAGATGATAGTATGTCTCTGATGGGATCGCGAAGGTCCTCGACTTCGTCCCGTAGTTATGGTGTGAACACTCGAATGTTGATTGGCGTCGATGTATACACAGGAACAGATAGAGTGAAAGTCGTAGATATTGCAGTGAATACTAACAGGGATGATGTTTGCGATGATGAAAGTGGGCTTACCTGGGCCGAGCGAGACAACCTTGCACGGGAAGTAGCTGCGTTGAAAGTAAAGGCTTATGACTTCGCCAATAAGGCTAGTCAGCTCACAGGAGTTGAGGAGCAGCTCAGAAGTAAGACGAGATCGGTGTTTGGATAGGAGAGGTCGATTTGTTGTTAGTATTGGGTGAGAAGCGGCTAGAAGCTGTCGATGCTTTAACTATTGTGAAGAGGCAAGTCCAGGAGGCTACAAACGCTAAAGAGCATGCACTGGCTTCAACTAAAACAGAAAAAGAGCAGCTCATGGATGTAGCATTCAATTATTCATAGACCTAGAATATGATAAACACGATCTCAGGACCTAGATAGGATGCGCCGCGAGAAGCGACGACTAGAGAAGTATGTATACGACCTGAAAAAGGGAAAAGTGGGATTGTATGCATCTTGTGGCTCCTCGATCACTTCACGTTACAGGAGAGTCTCTGTCAAGAGGAAGAGGCTGCTCGGCTGGACTTCAGAATAGCTAATAGACGACGAACAGAGGTGAGGAATGCGGAAAGATTAGGAAGTGTAGACTCGGTCCCAGGCCATTGAGTTGTTGCAAGTCACTGAAGAAGAGTTGAAGAAGTTCTCAGACACTAAGCAGGAGCTCATTGAAGCCCAGGAGATGCACGATATCGTCGTGAGAGAGCGGGAGAAATTGACACGTATCTCGACATCACTGCTCGGAGCACTGACTATACGCAATCATCAGGTACAGTGGAAAAGGAAATGATTGCGTTTGAGAAGCAAAGAGTTGAGATCCAAAGCATGATGGAGAAGCTTGTATCGGAACGTGATCGTTTGAGCCAAGATGTGAGTCTTCGTATGAGCAGGCTTAGGGTGTCGATTTAGAGCTTCGCGGTTGTGTGTTAGGTGGCAGAACTTGAAGGGCGAAGGAAAAGGGAAGCTTCTCTCCTGTCTGTAATTGATTCTACCAAGAAAAGAGTTGAAGGGGATATACGCGAGTTGAAGGAAAACATTAAGGTACTTTTGAGAGACATAAGTACTGTCACCCAGAGGAGAAGCGAAATGGAAGCCGAACTAGGGGATGCTTATTTACTAAAGGAACGAATAGAACCGGAAATGGAAGATAAGGAAGCCCAGTGGGTGGAGCTATGCGAGAAAGTGGGTGCTTTGGAGAGTGAGTTGGCAGAGTATGAGAAGGAGCGGAAAGGCATACTTGAGGAAATTGCACAATTGAACGATTACCGCGGTAAACTCGAGACGAAAGTTGACGTCTTCACTAAGGAATACGAGCAAGCTAATAGCATCCTTGGAGATCTTCATGAAGAGATAAGCATGCTTGAAGAGGAGAGAGATGCATTGCGAAAACTTCCAAGTGTAGATTTTTCTCAGAGGAAGCCCAGTATTTCCCTTGAACACTCGCCAGGTCAGCCTTACGAGCGAAGCAATAGTGATAATATCGAGGTAAAGCCTGTCGTCGCCCCGACGAAGCGTCGCGCACGAGCGAAGTGACCTCTGATGTGTTCCTATGTGTAGCATTGGCGATTGATGTTCCGCTGTCCTCGTTTTGAGTTGCATTAGTCTGGCTCAGTTATGAGAACGATTATATATAAAGATTCATATAGTATTCATTGTATTCCATCATTGAGAAGATCCAACCTCGGGAAGCACAGAAGATGAAAACCCACACAGTTTCCGAGTGAAGAGCAGGCGCTCCAAGTAGGGCGGATTCTTCGATCCATGAACTGCTGCATGCTCCTCGAAGCGTGCGAAGCCGCTCGAAAAGACCCGCTAGGTACGAACCAAGATCACGATGACGCATATGTAAATCGCTTAGTTTTCAACGAGTGCTCATGCCGGGTGTAAAGCAACTATTAACTCGACAACTCCTTTCCCCCATTCATCGATCTGATCGAGCAACCCCCTGTTTGTCGACGATCGTGTTTCATCGATAACTCGAAGCACAAGGTGGCCAGCCAGAAACCCTAGGAATCGTTGAAACATCGGTATCATGCAACGCGTTTGATCGAAACCAAACCGGGACTGTTAGACGGGGGATGAGTGTCTCGAGAGTCGCTATGAGTTCCCTAGCACGCTGCAGATCGGTTGGCTCGCAGAAAGGTGCCCATCGGATGATATCGCGGCAGCAACGGAGTACAAGCCTCACTGGCCGGTCACCTTGATAGTGCTCAAACCGCTTTGGAGAATTGTAGATGATGGCTATGGCCTCCAGCACATCTATGATAGCACGTGGGGTGCTATTATTCAAGGATCGACCAATGTGTGCAAACAATTTCCAGTGAGTATCGACGCTTCCGTCGAAGCACTCAGCTGCAGGGAGTACCTGATGGGGTAACAGATGCATACGAGCCTGGTGGACTGGAAAACATCAGATTGGAGTCGGAGCGATGCCGAACAGAACGAAAGACTCACAAAAAGACTGCAGCGAGGTCGGTGACTGGCCACTTGCGTAGCTTCGACCCGCTGAATGTAGCACGCATACTCCTTAGAAGATCTTCATTTACCACTCCAGACCTGGCCATGACGAAGAGTAGATCCGCGACAAACCGGTTATCAATGATGTCCGATGAGCCAAATGCATAGACGTCAGTGAAGTGCTCTATCGCGGATGCTACAGTGGCTTGGGTTAGGCTTCCACTCAGAACGAGACCCTTCAGGATGCGCATTCGCACAACTGGAGTGAGATCGGGAGGAACGGGAATAACTTCAATCTGTCGCATCACTGCTGATGCTAGCTGATCAACACTACGGAAGCTGTATCCAGCTCCTGATGACAACAAGCCCAGGCCAAGGACAAACTGAGAAAGCGCCTCGTATGGAACCTATATCAACAAGTGAATCCATACATGAGAACACAGTCCCACCTCTGATATGTGGCGCAAACACATATCGGCTACAGTGTCGAAACAAGTAGCCTTTACCACACCGGCCACGCCACATGCCTTCACTATATAAGGTGCTGTCTGGAAGTAGTTCATTGCCATTAGCTTCAGACGATTGCCCTTAACCTTCTGCAGCTGCTTGCCCAAACACAATAATATCTCCTCAATTAACCAGTGATATCTGTGGTAGATGTCACAGCATTCATCACGTTATTGTTAGTCACTTTTTAGGGAGGAGGGCAAGTGAATTGAGGAGGAGCACGGCTTCTGAGAACGGCAAAACTTCATGTCTGCGCCGTAGCCGATTCAATATCTCCGGCACGAGCCTTTCACGAGACGAATATATCCTCTTTTGAGTTTCATCTAAATCACGCAACTGTACAGGATTGATAACGCCCGACAAGATGTACCTATGGGATACAATTGTCTCACAGACCCCGACTCAGATGCGTACATAAGGCCCACGTGATCGTGAACCCTCTCAAAAGAGTCCTCAATAGATTCAAGCATCGGCAAGGCGAGGTCCCCAGGTACCGGCTGGTATCCCTGACGGACCCTTATGAGTCGTCGTAGACTTTCCACAATATCGTCGGGCTCTGTGAATTGTTGCCAACATGCAGCCACCTGACATGCTCGGATGCTTCGTCAACTTATAAGCAACATCAGTCACCCACTTCCTGCACTTTACTGTCCCGATCCTTGCTCGCAGTTGTTTGGTCCGATGAGACTCCAACCCATTTGAGGCTTCCCTTTCGCATAGGCGCAGCCGTTCGCAACTTCTCTAAGAGTTTCCTAGTTGTCGCACTTGCAATCGCATCCGCACATAGAATTTTCCCATTTATGAAATGCATCCGCGAAATGCTAATAGAAAAGGACTCCCCATTGAGTGATGACAATAACCCCAAGACGCAGATAGGCTGGGGGAAGCACTTCCGACATGTTACACACTGATGTCAATAACGAACGATGATGCACTGCTCAACGGGGCGGAACGACGCCACTTGCAGACTTTCGGGACTGTGTGTGCTCGATTGGGCCCGCCAGGATCTAATATTAGCTTCAGAACTGGTAACCGGTTTAACTGAGAGAATCATCCACTAAGCTAAATGGTAGCGGCCAAGGGTCCGAAACATCTTCAACAAATCCTACACCGAGCTGGCCACGAGTGCTACGCCCGAAAACTATGAATCCACGACTTTCTAAAGCCGCTAATGTATGGTAGCCACCTCCTGCTATACACTTGACCCCAACAGCGACTGGACCAGTGGGAAGAGGATGGGAACGACGTAGCCCATCACCGAGCTGACCTCGACGACCCATACCGAAGCCGTAGAGGGCAGACTTATCTCGGGTGATGACTAGGGAATGGGCACCACCACAACAAACAGCCGCGACGGGTGGCAGCTGGCCTGATACCTTAACGGGAATCGAAGTATCTCCCATATCGTCACCACGTCCAAGCTTGCCAGTGGAACCGCTACCAAAGGCATATACCTCTCCCATCGGGCCGCACAGTACGAGGGAGTGGTGCCCTCCACATGAGACCATCGTGCATCGACTAATGGTCGGGATTAGTGTGGGCACCCAACAGTGTGAACGCTCGTCATTGCCAAGTTGTCCATGAGTGCCCATCCCACAGGAGTACACACGACCCGAGTCAGCTAGAAGGAGGGAGTGGGCGAAACCGCATGAAACGCTAACAAACCGGACACTCGGTCCAGGAGGGTTCACTAGTGTTGGTGAGGAGATGGCTGAGACTGGAGAAGTGCCCAAATGGGATATACCAATGCCGAGCTGGCCGAACGCATTCCACCCGAAGGCCACGACACGGCCGTTAGCCAGCAGGACCATGCTGTGATCTCCACCACACCTCACATCAATAGGGATGGAGCCAAAGGAGTCGACATCGATCCTTCGTGGGGAAGAGAAGTCTCGGAGGTCATCACAGGCCAACTGGCCAAAGGTGTTCCTCCCTGTACCGAAGACAAGACCAGTTACACCTAGGAATAACGTGTGTCGATCTCCGCATGCTACTGCCACGAGTCTAATACGACTTAGACTGCTCACCAACAAGGGTTGAGGCTCATCACGGAGAACACCATGACCAAGCTGGCCCGAAGTGCCGCTACCAAATGTGTAGACTCTGCCGTCGAGCATGTATGCACTGTGTATGCTCCCGGCTGCTACTGATGATCGATTTTGGAGCCGCTCTAGCATGAGTCGTAGTCGTAGTATAGAATTAGCATCATGGTCACTTCGATGTAGCTCTGCCCGAGCGATGTTGATAATGTCTAGTCGGCTGAAGGCAGGCTCGACCAGCATGTTGAAGAGCTCTACGGGTATAGATCGTGTGGCGAAGGAGCTCAACCTGCGATCGCTGTTTGTAATAGCAATAATGCTTATCGTGTCGAGGAAGGCCATGATGTGCCATAGTGTATCGACAGAGAGGATGGACAATGACGATGATGATGGCAGCACTGTGGCAGTCATGTTGGACCGCGACAGCTTTGTCAACGAACAGGCCCAAGCAGGTCAAAGAACTGAGACACTTATTGTTACCCATGAGTAACGACAGCAAGCCCGAGACCTATCTTAGCACCCCAGCGAGCCGACTTAACGAACGCATCGTCCCAAGTGGTTACATCATAAACACGAACTCATTGCAGAGTGATATGTATTTATGCTGCACCCGCAGCCGTTTCTCCATGGACACTTCAACATCGTCGACTCAACAGGGTTTGACGCAAGGCTATACACGTCGCTTCGCTGAGTGCAAGTGCTGATAACTGCAGGTAATCAGGCCAATCACGGATGGCTTTAAAGTGAGAACTCCCAGCATGTACGAGTTCCCACAGTAGGGCCTGTTGCCAACAAGTCCACGAGTCTCAGGACCAGTAAAGCACTCAACCGGTGACATATCTGACATCGTACCATACACGCAATACATCGACTCGGCTTTGCTGATCAATAGTCTTTTCTTGTTCCCACCACTGATGCAGGGACCACTCCACGGTATCCAAAGCCGACACTGATATACCAGCTCCAACTCTGAACTACCAACGCGACCATACACTTTGTCAGAGAGAAAAGCATCACACGAGAATCGAATAGCGACAACGTACACGACTTGCAACAGTAACAATGACTTCGTTTACGATGATAACGCTCAGGGCAATTTCGGGTGGAGGACCCTGTAGACTTATGTGAAGATGATTAGTAC